CCGACAATTGAGTATTTTCAAAAAAAAATTTTGGTCTCATTGTTACAAAAATGGAATTTTCAAACTTTTTCCAGTCAAAATTCGTCATTCCTAGAGGTTTTCACTGAAAAAAAAACGCTGGAAATTCGAATTTTCGGTCTTTTTTGAGCGATTTTCGGGCTGAATTCATGTTTATTAGCTTAATTTTATGCTGTTAGTGCTGCTAAGTTTTGGGTATTTTAGAGCTATTTTGGCAGGAAAAAATCTTAAAAATCGAGTTTATTCCTGAAAAATCCCCCGTTTTTAAAGTAGCTGCAAATCACGAAACTAGCTCAAGACAGCCAGAATTCTATCAAAAATTCACAAGAAAAACGAGATTTTTAGCGGTTTTGGTCAATTTTTGTTGAAATTATCAGATTTTTCAGCCATTTTTTGGAATTTAAAAGTTCAAAATCGTAAAAATGGCTGAAAAATCTAAAAATTCTACCAAAAATTGACCAAAAAAACGCCCGAAATATGAGCGAATTTCCAAGTGGCTGGCGTGCCTTTGGCGCGTTTTGAATTTCCTCGATTTGAAGCGTTTTTGGGTCATTTTGGAGCATTTCAAATGGGGGTTTCCCATGATTTTGGGAGATTTTCGAACATTTTTAGGCAAAAAGAAGCTCTTATTTTTGTGATTTTCAGCTCATTTCAGACTAGTTTTCATCAATTTTTCGTTTGGACCATTTTCGGTAGCTTTTAAATTATTTTTTTTTTCGATTTTGATAATTAAAATTTCATTTTTAATCAATTATAGCTGAAATTTATGATTTTCAGGTCATTTTTGTCATATACAGATCAGTTTTTAGACTGAAAAAACTCGTTTTTCTCTAATTTTCTCTAATTTTTGAGATGATTTCAGCCAAAACTAACCCCTCTTCCTGAAGCGACAGCTCTAGAACTCTGCGGAAAAAGCCCGAAAACTCGTCGGCTTTCTTCGAAAAGCACGCCCACGCATCGAGACTTCTCTCGCGGAACTTCTCATTCACCATCACCACAATCGACAGATTATAGGCTTTGGAAGCCGATTGGGCCTGATAATTAGGCCATAAATACTCTTCCAAGTACTGCGAAAACTCCAGCATCATGATTTTTCGCGAGTTAAACTGTGTCTTTAGCATCTCGTTCTCATAGATAATGTCAATAAGTTTGGCGTCGAACTTCTCATGGGTTTCCTTGGTGAATGGAGCCCAATACTTGGCGGCAACCTGAGAAAATTTGAATTTTTGGAAAATTTTCAGGTTTTTTCCCGCTTTTCTGACTTGCAGAAGTATTCTTAAATCCGAAAAATTGGAGTTTTTTGCATTGTTAGCTTCTAAAAATCCATTTTTTGCAGAACTTTAGGAATTTTCAATTTTTAAGAAAAAATTGAATTTCAAAAAACTACCCCCGATATGGTATCATTCTCGATGGCTCCTCTCGTCACCACTGTCTCCTGGTGACGCTTTGTAACCATTCCTTTGTCTGAAAAAAATTTCTTTTGAAAATTTTCGAAAAAAATCATATTCCCGGCGATTTTCAAGGGCTAAAATTTCAAAAAATCAAATATCCGGCCTGAAAACAAGATAGAATATGCAAAAAATTAATGATAAACAAGGTTTTTCAAGAATCAAAAAAAAATTTTATGAAAAAATCCCATTTTCGCCATTTCGAACTGATTTTCAGGGGCTAAAGCATAGAAAAATCAAAAATTCGGGTTGTTTTTGTCTTATTTAGTACAAAACTGATAAGAAAACAGGCGATTTTAGTGATAAACAGGTGCAAAACAATAATTTTGTTTGAAAAAAAAATCTTTTTCGAAAAACAGGGTTTTGCGCCAAGAGGGATGCTGGCGCATTTGTGGTGCATGCTTGGCGCACTTTCGGTTTCCGGCGGGAAATTAAAAAATGGCAGAGAAACCGATTTTAATCGAATTTTCAGCAATTTTCAGGACATAAAATAGAAAAATAATTTATTTTTCATGAAAAATACAGGTCACAATTTAAATTCAACTCTCTCATCGAGCCACGTGGATTCCGACACCTTTTCAGCAGCGACCATTCGTCGTTCAAGCACTGTCACCTCGTCGTTTCGATCGACTAGAATGATTGTGTGCGAGCGGGTACCGTATCTGGAAAATTTAAAATTTTGAAAAAAATTCAAATTTCCCGTCAATCCACCTTCTAGTCTCGGGAAATCGCACGAAAATCGATGTCAGGGGCCTATAGACGTCTCCAGGGAACCCGGTTTGCACCCGAATTTGCTCATCGGGGAAGCATTGCGTTTGACACGTGGCAATTTCAAAAAGCCGCCCGAAAATTTCCTCTCGCTCCAGTTGGTCCGAGTTTTCTAGGCTCTTTTGGAAGAGTTCTAGGCCATATTCGGCCTTTTTGAATGGAATATGAGGGGGACTGTTGGAATACACGTGGAATTCTGAAAATTTCAGAAAATTGGGTTTCCGAAATTCTGAGTTTTCAGAATATTCGAAATTCAAAAATTCAATAATTTAGAACATCTGATTTTTCAATTTTTTGTTTTCTTTTAAATTTCTGAATTTCCAAATTTCTGAATTCCGGAATTTCTGAATTTCTGAATTTCGGATTTCTGAATTTTCGAGTTAATGAACTTCTGAATTTTCGAGTTTTCTGGAATTTCTGAATTTCTGAATTTCTGAATATCTGGCTTTCTGAATTTCAGAATTTTTGAATTCCTGAATTTCCGATTTTTTGAATGGGATATATTTGAATTTTTGGAATTTCGAAATTTCGAAATTCTGAAATTTGAAAATTTCTTATTTTTGAAAATTTAACAAAATCGAAATTCCTGGAATTCTAGTGGATCCAATTTTTGGAAATTTCTGAATTTTTGAATTTCGGAATTTTTTAATTTTTGAATTTCTGAATTTTTAGATTTCAGAATTTCGAAATTCTAAAATTTTAAAAACTTTTGATCTCAGAAAATTAGAAATTTTGGAATTCTGGAAAATCCGATATTTTTCTTTTTTTCAATTTTTTCGAAATTCCAAAATTTTGAAATTTTGAAAATTTGAGAAAATCGAAATTCCTGGAATTATGGTGGTTCCATTTTTCGGAAATTTCCGATTTTTTGAAATTCTGAATTTCCGAATTTCAGAATTTCGGAATTTTCGAATTTCCGAACTTCTGGAATTTTCGGATTTTTAAATTTTTGAATTTCTGAATTTCTGAGTTTTCGGAATTTCTGAATTTCCGAATTCCCGAATTTCTGAATTTCTGAAATTTCAGAATTTTTAGAATTTTCGAATTTCTGGAATTTCTGAATCTCCGAATTTCAGAATTTCAGAATTTTTGAATTTCAGAATTTTATAATTTTTGAATTTCTGGAATTTTCAGAATTTCGGAATTCTCAATTTTTCAATCTTTGAATTTTCGAAATTTTCGAATTTCTGAATTTCCAATTTTCCTGAAATTTTCATAAATTCTCAAAAACTCACTATCCTCCCATTTAACGACTTCAACATCCCTCACCAACTGATTCGTGAGACTTCTGACCTCAAAAAGTCCCGTATTCGCATTTTTCTCGATTCCAACAAATTGGAATCCATTGAATTGCTCAGCTTTAATTTTTAGATTTTCTAGAAATTCCAAACTTTCAGTTTTCAAAAAATCATTGACGATTCCGCCTCGGCTTGGAGCATTCGTGTGTTTTGTGTCGATTGGTTGAGTGATCGAAAGGAGCATTCCGATTTTGCCACGTGGATTGATTCCTGAAAATTTGAAAAATCTAGTTTCAAGAATTCTGAAAAATCTAAATTACTCAATATCTGGAATTTCTGATTTTTTGAATTTCAGAAAATTCCGAACCAAAAAATAGAAATTCAAAATTTTCGTTTTTTCAAAAATTCAGACTTTTTTGGATTCTCTTGAGTTTTCTGATTTTTTTTCAAATTTTCAGTGAATTTAGACATATTTTGAGCTCAAAAAGTCCCTCACCCAACCAAGTGCCCCGTGCCACATCCTTCTCATCCACCCCGCTCAGAATCCCATCGTGCCAGTGGATTTTCGCAGTTGGACGGTCCAAATCCTCATCTCGATTATTTAAAAGTATCAATTTATACTTTTCATCGGGCGACGTTGCCACTTTTATAAATCCTATGCACATTTTTTTTGGGCTGAAAATGTGTAGTTTGTAGTGAAAAACTGGCGGAAAATTGCAGAAAATCGGTTGAAATTCACCTAAAAAATTGAAATTTGACACTGCTGGGCAGTAGCAAAATCTAGATTTTCCTCAATTTTCGCCTAACTTCAGCGATTTTCAGTGCCAAAATTACAGTTCACAACTGCTGTTTCAGGAAAAATTGTAGTTTGTAGTGAAAAATCAGTGAGAAATTGCAGAAAAATCTGAGAAAATTGTACAAAAAATTGGAATTTGACACTGCAAATATCAATTTTGGTACTGCTTAGCGTAGCAAAATTGGATAATTTTGACCTATTTATGTATAAAACGGTCTGATTGTTTCATTTTCATAGCTAAAAATGTAAAAAATCAGGAAAAAATGTAGTTTGTAGTTAAAAAACGGTAAAAATTTGCAAAAAAAATCCGCTGCAAATAACCTAAAACTTGAAATTTGACACTGCATTTTGGATTTTGCACCTGCTAGGCAGTAGCAAAATCGCATTTTGGTACTGCTTGGCAGTAGCAAAATTGGATAATTTTGACCTATTTACGTATAAAACGGTCTGCTTGTTTCATTTTCATAGCTAAAAATGTAAAAAACAGGAAAAAATGTAGTTTGTAGTTTAAAAACCGTAAAAATTTGCAAAAAATCCGCTGCAAATAACCTAAAACTGGAAAGTTGACACTGCATTTTGGATTTTGCACCTAGGCAGTATCAAAATCGCATTTTGGTACTGCTTGGCAGTAGCAAAATTGGATAATTTTGACCTATTTCATTCAAAATTGGTATAATTTTTTTACCTTCTTGAAGCTGAAAATGTAAGAAATTAGGAAAAAATGTAGTTTGTAGTTAAAAAAAAGTAAAAATTTGCAAAAAATCCGCTGAAATCAACCCAAAAATTGAAAATTCGACACTGCAAATTTCAATTTTGGGCTAATTTCGACCAATTTTTGCATAAAATAAGCTGAATTTCACATTTTTCTAGCTGAAAACCATTAACCACTAGTCGGAAACGTACTTTGTAGTGAAAAATTGCAGAAAAAAGAACCAAAATTGAGAATTTGACACTGCAAAATTCAATTTCTTATCTGCCGGACAGTAGCAAAATCCCATTTTAATACTGCTTAGCAGTAGCAAAATAGCCTAATTTTTGCCTACTTCATTCAAAAATGGCCCGATTTTTACACTTTTGTAGCTGGAAAGACCTAAAATTAGAAAAAAAATGTAATTTTGAGTTAAAAACCAGTGAGAACTACGAGAAAACCACGAAAATTGACCGAAAACCGCAATTTCTTAGTACCAATTTCAAATTTTACACCTGCTAAGCAGTAGCAAAATAGACTAATTTCGACCAATTTTTGCACAAAATGGCTCGATTTTTTCATTTTTTGGGGTTAAAAATGTAGTTTGTAGTGAAAAATCGTTGATAGAAATTTTACATTGCAAAAAATCCAGTTTTTGCACCTGCCCAGCTGATTTTTGGTACTGCTTAGCAGTGGTAAATTTCAATTTTGACACTGCTTGGCAGTAGAAAAATCTTTATTTTTCGCCACATTATAGGCTAATTTTGACCTATTTATTTGGAAAAATGGTCTGATTTTCATTTAAAAAATCACAGGAAAATACAAAGTACACGGCAAAAATAAAGAAAAAAATGCAACTTTCAGGGACAATTTCATCAGTACATGAGTATTTATCATCATTTTACGAGTGATCATAGATCACAAAAACCGGTTTTTTTTACAGAAAACATGCTACAAAAAAACAATTATCTCGATTTATTATGATTCCTCTTAAAATGTAGGCGTCGATTCGCCAGACTATCAGTACTGTAGGAGCATTCTGGACATGCGTAGATGCCTCCTTTCACTTTTACAGCACGTTTCAGACGGAGCACATGGTTCGTTTGTTGGCCGTGTCTGGAAAAATCGATAATTAGGATTAAGGTCAGAAATTGGGGGTTTTTGACCACTTTTAGAGCCAAAAATCCATCATTTTTTCGAGATTTTGACTATGAAAATGCTGAAAAAATGTCGATTTTCATCATTTTTGGTTCATTTTCCATGTTTTTTGGTTCATTTTTCATGATTTTTGGATCATTTTTCATGACTTTTGGTTCAATTTCCATGATTTTTGAGCCATTTTTCATGATTTTTGGATACTTTTTCATGATTTTTGGATACTTTTTCATGATTTTTGGACCATTTTTCATGATTTTTGGAACATTTTTAATGATTTTTGAGCCTTTTTTCATGATTTTTGGCTCATTTTTCATGATTTTAGACCACTTTTAATAAATTTTGAACCATTTTTAATGATTTAAAAAAATCAGTTTTTTCAGCATTTTTAGAGCCACAATCGGGGCATTTTTTGAGATTTTGCTCTACCTATACAACGCTTTTCGATTTGCAAAGCTGTTTTGGCACTCGAAGCATACGAATTCTCTTCTTCTGATTGTCCAGAAAGGTTCCCTCTAGATTTGTCACTGTGAATGGCTCCAAAATCCCAAATTCCGACGAATTCTGAATCCCAGAAGACGTCGGAAGGCTCGGAACGTCTCCAGATCGTCGTTCAGAATATTTAAATTCCCGCGTTTTGTGTTTCGTGGCGATTCCATGCCGCCAGAGTCCTTTTCGATTGTTGAACGACTGTCCACAGGTGAAACAGAAGACTTGGGAAGGATTAGATGGTGATGACGTCATCTGGAATTGGGAGGCGAGGACTTCTGGAGAGTTGAAATCATCAGAAGACGTTGCTGGGATAGAGAAGTCGTCCGTTGGATTCAGATAGTCGTGCTGGATGAAAATTCGGAGATTTTTTGGGGTTTTTAGTGGATTTTAAAGCAATTTAGGCCATTTTCTAGAAAATCCAAATATTTCAAAAAAAATTTTTTTCTTCAAAGTATTCAAAAATTCAAAAAATTAGAAATTCTCACCACAAAACCCTTTCCTCCAAAAATCCACCA